AGTTGGGCTGTTGGTTTGCTCTCCAAGCTTGGCAAGTGGTTATAAATTTCACAACAGCTAAAAAAAAAAACATCTTGAGTGAAACTGTTCTTCTTGCATAGAATCAAGAAGGAAAAACCCTGCAAACAACAGAGACAAACTAAAGAACAAACTCTGGTCAGTGATGAGAGAGACTACTCACTCAAACGATTCCTCCTTTCTTCTGATCGTGTCTCCTTCCTTCTCATTCTGGTGTAAAGGTTTGGCCAAGAAGGCCCCTGGCTAAGGGACAGGTATGCAAGGAAAGGAAGAGCAAGGGAGAAGCTGGCTTTTCTCCTCTCTCTTAGTTTGCTGAATGCCGTGTTTCTTGGACTTCCATGTAAAGCAGAAGCATTCACCCTTCTGTTTAATGTGCCATTGACTTTGGTGGGGAAAAAAAAGTGAATTACGCCAGCATAAAAGGTAGAGAGAAATTGTGTGTTTCTATGCATGAAGGCTCAAGTAAAACATATTGTCCCTTATAGACTCTTAAACAGACCTTAGCTCAGGCCATTTCTTAAATATAGCAATAGCATTTAGACTTATATACTGCTTTACAGACCTCTCTAATGGGTTTATAGAGTCAGCGTATTGCCCCCAACAATCAGTAGGATGGAAGGCTTGACAGTGTGAGCAGAGTTTGCCTGCAATACTGCATTGACAGTGTGAGCAGAGTTTGCCTGCAATACTGCATTCTAACCTCTGCACGACCACGGCTCTTAAATAACATGGCCTAGATCAGGGTAGGCAACCTTGGCTCTTTTATGACTCGTGGACTTCAACTCCCAGAATTCCTGAGCCAGCCATGGCTGGCACAGGAATTCTGGGAGTTGAAGTCCACGAGTCATAAAAGAGCCAAGGTTGCCTACCCCTGCGCAAAGATCCTTTATTTAATATATGGATTTCAGTTACTGAAACCTCTGTGAGAAGAAGACAAGGCCTTGCTGGGTTGTGACCTAGTGCATTGCTCCATGAACAGCATGGCAGAAGTCAACGGACCTTGTTTTTTATAGAGTGGAGGAAGGACAACGAAAAGAAAAGTTGGATTGTGTTATGTGGCATTTGTTCTTGTTACAAGGGTGATGAAAGTGGACTTTGATCTATGGAAAGGGCATTCAAATTATCAGTGTTTACTGTGTAGTGACTGAGAAATATTGATTTAATTACCAGGTGTTTCCCCAGCTGCCAGGTTTTATTTCTAGAGGCCTAAATGTTCTTGGTTTGTAATCCAGCATAAAGAAGGTCACTACCGTGCTCTGAGGAGGCCCGCATTTTGCCCCATCGAGTCATTTTTTTAAAAAACATTTTTTAAAAAGAGATGACTTGAGCAAACAATTGACGATGCTTTCCAATCTAATTTATATAACTCGTTTCATGGAGCAGTTACCTACGATGTCATTCTATCCTGTTGGTCTTCCAGAGGGCCATAAATACCTGGCTGTTCTCCTAAGCCTTGTGGTATGGTGCCTCCAGGCTGCTTCTCTGGATGTGAGAAGGCAGGAGGGTTGGGAGTGGTTGCTGGGCTCTCCAGTTTTTTCCTTTTTCTTTGCCTTCCATTCTAGTTTGAGTTTGCAGTTAGCTGCTTCTTATTAGATAAGAGAGATAAGATAACCTTTATTGTCATTTTTATACTGTGGGCACAATGGCACACATCAAAAATGAAATTTAGTTGCCCGCTCTCAAAGTGAAACACATACATGACACACACCTAAACATACCATATACAACATATGTATAGACCCACATCCCTACATATACGTAGCAATAAATATTAAATATTGTCCATCTTGAGTATATAACGGAAGGAGGAAGCTTGAGAGTTCGCAAGGTTAATGCTGTATGGAATGTAACTCTGGCTGAATCTGGATCGGATTCCACGAAGCCTCCTCCCAGAAGGTAACAAGGAAAACAGGTGGTGAAGAGGATGTGTAGTGTCCCAGACAATCTTGCGGACCCTGCTCAAGCAGCACTTCTGTGCTATGTCCTGGATGGGAGGGAGGGAACTGCCAATGATCTTTTCGGCCATTCTCACCACTCTCTGCACCGCCTTCCCATCTGAAGCAGTGATGCCTCCAAACCAGACTGTGATGCTATATGACAGGATGCTCTCGATTGTCCCCTGTAGAAAGTGGTCAGGACAGGGGAAGGAAGATGTGCTTTTCTCATCCGGCGCAGAAAATGCAGGCGCTGCTCTGCCCGCTTCACCAGTTTCTCACTGTTGAATGACCAAGTCAGCCTACTTGTTAGCTGCACACCCAGGAATTATACTGATTTTATACTGTCTGGTATATTGTAAGCCAGTCAGAGTTATTTGAAGTCATCAGCATATCAAATCAATAATAAAACACATTACAAAAATACTTGATCAAGTGACTATCTCTTGAAAATATTATTTCACTTTCTTGGAGAGTATCTGTAACTACAGTAGTGGCCAAAATTGTGGAAACCTTTTGGGAGAAGTGTACAGTAGAAATGCCACCTTTGATTAAGTTCCCACCAATTTTTCTTCTAATTTCTTTATAACTGTAGCCTTGTTCACTTAATAATACTATTTTACATTGCTTTCTGGGTAACCAGTCAACTCTTTGCACCATTAATTTTACTATGTTTACCAAGCTCACTAAATGAAAGAACACAAAAAACCCCAACCAACTTGATAGCGATCACATAACATACTGACAAATATCTCAGCTTCAATACATGACATCAAGAACTGAATCCTAATGTGATCTGATTGGCTCATTGCCAAAACAAGATGACACTGATTGGCTCTCTAAATACTCATGCTCATTGGCTACAATCAGATGAAAGAAAGCTATCTGATATCAACCTCAGCAAGTTGTGCTTCCTTTTTCTGTTTATTTGGCTATAACTTTTCATAGAATACAGTATAGATAATTGAACAAACTTTGTTGCATTACATTCTTGATTAAATTATCTTTCCATTGATATATAATTTTATGTACTACTCCAAAAAAAAAAAAAGTGGTGCTATTAGGTATCAAACCTCAAAAATACACTTTTCCCAAAAGGTTTCTACAATTTTGGCCACTACTGTAGAGGCCAATGGTTTTAACTGGAATCATGTGTTTAAAGGATACTTTAGGAAATTAATTAAAAATGTTTTTTTTTTCTCTAAATGTCTATTAGCTATGGTCTTTGGCCAAGAATGGTTTCAAAGAAGTAGGAGTGAGTAATATATATGTTTGCTGGCTCTTTGGATACAGTATCTAATAAGGTTGGGTAAATAATACAAATCTCTTCATTAAGACTATATTGAGTAAGAATATATCAAATGTTAAGGATTTGTATTTGATGAAGCTAATATTTGTTTCTTGTTATGGATAGTTAAACATACACACAATCCATGTTGGGATATGTTCTCTGTCAAGGAAAGTCCTCCAAAGATTTGAACTGGAGTTTTATATGATTTGTATTTTTTAGACCAATATAAACTCTGAATGCTGTAACTAGTGGTGAGATTCAGATATGTGAACAATCAGTTCTCTGTGTGGTTGCTACTTCCGGATGTCCATTCTGGGCCTGGGCAACAAAAAATTAGCTACCAGTTCTGCCGAATTGGTACATACTGGTGAATCTCACCGCTGGCTGTAACATCTTAAAATATTTTATGGAGATAACAGAAATATTTTCACACTTACAAAGAAACTGTCTTCAAAATATTCAGACAGGAGCATCTTAAAATAGAGTATGTCAGTTGGGATAAGTCACAGGTTAAATGCAACCAAGGAAAGTAAAAAAAAAAACAATGAAGTCAGCTAAAATATGAGACAAAAATATGCATTTATGATAAGAGATCAGGATTGGAACTGATATAGATGGAATAAAGAACAGAGAAATGAAAATATCAATCTGTGGCCAAGGAGCATGAAACCGAATAATAAATCCTGCCTCCAAGTGACAAAAATAAATGAAATCTTTGGAAACCTGATCAGCAAACCTGGCTGGAGGTGCTGGATCTCCAATTGCATAGCCTCATAAATCATTTCATAGATGTATGAGTGGAATCAGTAGAAAACAGAAAGATATAGAAGGCAATTAAGTATCACATTCCTATTTCAGCATAAAATATTGTCAATCCCTGTAAGGTGATATAATATGTTTTCAACTCATATGGAACAAAAAAATGGCAACACTTAGATGTTGCTCTCAATTCAGACAGTTTAGGATGCATTAGTTCATCCACAAAACCTTCCCAAATTCTGCTAGACATACTTGTCATAATAGTTGAGGATGTTCTTGTTCACACTAAAGGTTTCATGTGGATGATTAAGTAATTTTAATAGGTAGAATTCCCGTTTGCATAAAATATTTCACTGAATGCCACTGAATCAAGTAATATGGATTTTATACTAAAATATTCTTAGGCAAGGAATGCTAGGTGGAAGTATGCATAGTCAAATGTCCCCGGATTAACATTTCAGCATTCAGCACATTCGTAAATGTTATTTCTTTAAGAGGTTGTGAGTAATGAAAATCAACTTGAAATATGGGAATCGAGAAGCTGTATATTATAGTGGCTAATGTGTTGGACTTGAACTCAGGCCAAGTCCCTACTCAACCACTGAGTGATTTTGGTCAGTCACGCTGTCTCAGCCCAAATCCTCCACGCAGAGTTGTTGGAGTGGAGATCAAATAAAATCAGATCAAATGTGTACCCTAGGTGGGATGTAGATGTATGCAATATGATTAATTTATAAACAGCTGTGCTGCTTATAAAAAAAGAAGCCCCCACCTTTATTGCTTGGTTAAAATTGCTTTGACAATCATGAACTTCAATAGTTTTAATTGTTGTGCTATTGTTCACCAGCCATATCAACTGGATTGAGATGGGCGGCTATAGAAATCAATCAAACAAACAAACAAACCAGTCAGTCAGTCAGTCTATGGTCAATATTAACATTTCATTTATGTGGTTCTAAATATTTGTTTCCTTTTCATTATTATTATTTCCCCTGCAGATAAGTAAACAGCAATTGCAGACTGTCAAGGATCGCTTTCAAGCCTTTCTCAATGGAGAAACTCAGATTGTTGCTGATGAAGCCTTTATGAATGCTGTCCAGAGTTATTATGAGGTAAGAACATGAGCCTTAGATGTTTGCAGAGCAACCTATTTGTATTTCATAGCCCTGAACTACTCTAAGGTAAAGTATACATCCTTCAATCTTTTCAGTGCAACTTAATTTAGGCACAAATCTTCACAAACTGTAGTCTAAGTAAGAGAACATCATCATCCAGTTGCCTGGATCTTCACTAGAAGTTGAAGGTAGAAAGCTAACCTAAACGTGATCTGACTGTTGATTCATCTGGACTAATCCATTATCCCTAATGAGTGTTATCATGGGCTGCCCAGTCTGTTTTAAATCCTATTTGGAGAAGCTTAGAATTGAACCTGGGGTATTTTGCATGTACATTCTAGAGTCGACCAATAGGTTCTGATTATAGGTATTCCTTGACTTACGACCACAATTGAGCCCAAAATTTCTGTTCCTAAGCAAGACAGATGTTCAGTGAATTTTGCCTCATTTGTTGCCCGAGTTGTTAGGTAAGTCACTCCAGTCGTTAAGGTAATGATACAATTATTAAGTGAATCTGACTTCCCATTGACTTTGCTTGCCAGAAGTTTGAAAAATGTGATCACATGATCACGGGACACTGCGACCATCATAAATATGAGTCAGTTGCCAAGTGTCTGAATTTTGATTATGTCATCATGGGGATATGGCAAGGGTGGTAAGTGTGAAAAACAGCCATAAGTCACTTTTTTCAATACCGTTCAGTAACTCTGAACAATCACTAAATGAACTATTGTAACAGTAATTGTTGTACCACCTCTACTATTATTATCTTTGGCATGAATTATATAAACATCCATAATGGGAAAATGGCATAATTCACATGACAGCTTATGATATAAGTTCTTTCCTGTGCTATTACAGGACCAGGTATGGGTCTAGAAGTCACAACACCTCTCCTCACACCTCTAAGCAAATTAGCATAATCATTCTCATGAATAGGATCTAGGTTTCCTAAAGCAAAAAATGGTACCCAGAACAAAAGGAATGTTCAGTTATGTTACTATATTCATGGAATTCCTTCTCAATGGAATCTTAACTGTGTCGGGAAAAGAGGCACCAGTTCCTCTAAGCTTTTTAAAAGGTTTCATTAATGTAACTATTTATAAGAAAGTCTGCATCCACATTTCGTTTTACCACAAGCACAGTTAATTGAGAGTGGATTGAGCCCACTGTTTGATAAGTCCTGAAATTCAAGCCTTTTAAGGAATAGGATTGTTCCTTAAGAATGTAAAAAAGAAAAGAAAAGAAAAAGAATCACTATGAATGCCTCTCTGGGAGGCTTTGGAGATTTTCCTTTTGAGAAATTCATGGTGGGCTAAATGCTAGCTGCAAACTAAGTCTGGCTACTGTTCAGACTTCTCTCTCAAAATAATCATGGAGTGGTTTGAGAATTGCATTTGATTTTTTGAACATTTGAAGATGGCCAAGGGATTTCTTCCAGTTTGTGCACTGGCATTTTAAAAGGCTGACATTTTTAAAAGAGTGCCAAACTGGTTGTTGTTGTTGTTGTTTTTAAAGATTACTTCTCTTCTCTGGAACTTTAAAAAGTTTCTTTTTTAAAAAAATGAGAATGCATCCCTTAGACATCTTATTTATTTTTAAAAGTAAGTACAGTTCCTGTCCATTTCATCTGCTTTTCGAATATTTTGTTTGCTGCTGCTGCCTCCTCCTTTCGTCATCCTTACAAAAACGTGTCAGAGTAAAAAGCTGCTTAAATGGATAATGCAATGAAGCACATTTTTGAGAATTAGACCCTCTCCTCTTTCTCTCGCTCTCTCTCCCTACCTCTCTCCCCTCTGTCCTCTTCCATCTTTCCTGTCTCCAGTCTTTTCTCTCCGCTTTCCTTGTCTCCTTTGAATGAGAAAAATCTGGCATCAGGGCTTCATGATGTTGGTTCTCCTAGAAATTTATTAGATGATGGGAAAATTTTATTGATCTCTAAAATAAATGCATATAATGAATTCAATAGGCCCTCAGAGCTGGAAGGGTTTATGATCAATATTGTCACACCATATCATAAAGCTGGTAACCTCTTGATCAGTAAACTGGACAGAACATCCAAACCTTAGTAGAATTTCTGCTTTGCACATCAATGATCCCAAGTAAGGGATGCAGGTGCCATAAAAAAGCATTTCCTGGAGTTGATGAAGTAATATGACCTGGTACTTTGTTTCTTTCCCACCAATAACCAGATTGACCCAGATTCAGCACACATAAAACACTGGAAACTTGGACAGTTGGTTAGGTTTTTTTTATACATCTTTTCAGTAACTGATGGGAGACTTTTATTTTACAAAAAGAAAGTTTACAAGTAAAAAAAACAAACCTGAAGGATTCGAAAATTATAAATGCCTTCAACTGGTTCAGAAATTTATCTTAATAAAACGATTTTAACTAGAGTCACTTGTTGAGAGGGGCAGCTATACAAATTGAATAAATAAATAAATAAACTTTTCTAATTTATCTTTTTCTACACTGTATTCTTCAAAGTCCATTTGCATTATACTGTATTCTTATATCTTACTCTTCTACATCTCTGATGTAGCTGTTTGTAGCTAACTTCTATATTTTAGTTAACTTAATCCCTGTATCTCTCTTATCACTTTCCATCCTATTATGCTGGTTTTGCTACTTTGCTCTTTCCCATCTTTTTTCAAGGTTCTGTTTTCTGTTTCTCCTCTGCCAAAGTGTTTACTTTTCTTCACTTCTTGATTCTTCTTTTCTTCAAATCTTGGTTTCATCCAAAGGAAACAACTTCCTTCATGCCAGGTTTGAAGGGAGGAAATAAATGCCTGGCTCTCCCCAGTATTCTCAGCTGTCGCCTCTTTTTAGCATTGTGTGTTTCTCATCAAGACTGTCTGTCTTCCAGATTACCTCTTTATTTGACTCCTGGACTTTAAGCTCTGTTTATTCATCTTAATTTTTATCAGGTTAGAGCTCCCAGGTAGCCAACTCGTCTTCCCTCCTGATAAAAGGAACGTGTTCGTATGCCACTTATTCTGGAATACTTTTAATGGAACAACTCCAGAGAAGGAATTTGAAGATACAGAGAAACAGTATCTGAAGATGCCTCTCAGCCAGTTTATATTGGCTCAGAAGCTTGTTTTACTAACTAGCCAACTATTGGAAGGCAATAAAAAGACTAATGCGGAATTGGGGAAGTATGTATTTTCCATTACTTAGTCATTAAATTATTTTGTGCCATTTTCTCATTTCAAAGGTCAGATATTTCAATTAGGAGATGCTATTTTCCAATTATATATCTTCGTTAAAAGAATAAATATTTTGGCATGTAATTAGATTGTAAAGACATCTTCTGTGTGCTAATTAATTTGTGCTACCGATCATCATAGCATCCCACACTGTTTATTTGACATCGTCTTATATTGGATGGGTTCATATCACTTCAAAGTTTTCAACACACAAATGCAATAAAGTTTACACCTTCAGTGTGAAATGACCCCTGTCCTATATATGTCAGGGATGTGCAGAAAGTTGAATTTCTTTGTAGATGTCAACTCCAAGTTTACAGAAGTTATTGCCACAGGAAGTCATACTGAGTTAGAAGTTAATCTATATAATCTAGTTAATCTATATAATCAGTCCAAGGACTGGCCTTTGCTTATTTGAACAGTTGCAAAGTGATGAAACCATATCATAGATCTGTTTGGAGGTTTGTTACATTAGCTGCTATGCGCTAAACAAAAATTCATTCTACTTCCTGCCTCAAAATGCATAGGCCATATATCACCTTAGGGACACAGATTGTCCACTCTTGATCAACTCCATTATTGTCCACACTGTTTTATCATGGACCTCAAGCTATTATTTAGATTTGATGGCCTAACAGCCCACAGCTCAATTTAATAACTTCATGATCTATTTTTCCCCTATGGCTTTTAATGCTATTGGTAGATGGGATCTTTGATATATTGCTCTCCCTAAATCCTGATTGTCATCAAATACTGGAATAAATAAAATAGGGAAGGCAGAATAGAAACTGACTTCAAATGTAAAATAACTAAATACAATTATACAGTATGTGATGATAAAAAAGGAACAACAGGGAAAGACATATGAAATAATCACCAGCATCTTCAAAAGAATAAAATTCACAAAGGAAGAAGAAAACAACAGCACATCTCTTCCTGGATATCCACATTAGCAAAGGAAATAAAGGCAATGCCTTTATTTAAAAAAAAAACCACACCCACACTAAGTGCTTCATTACCAAAGTAACAATTCAACCTCTCACAAGAGGAACATTATTCAGAGAAGCAAAAACTCACGGCAACAACCCAAAACACCAGGCTGCCTATACAACATCTTCCAATAAAGTGGATACTCATGCAAAAGTACAACCAACACAAAGGACAACACTGCCATATATCCAAAACATCTAAGCAATAATCAAAAACTATTATAATCACACTGTGGTATTACTGTAGCACACAAAACTTCTAAAGCCCTCCAAAAGATCTTAAGTAAACCAAAAGATCTGGTTGCCCAAAAATTAAAACAGGAGTCATCTACTACATACAGTGTAAAGACAGTCATTGTGTAGGACAGACAGGCACACTAGCAGAACACATCCATGAACACCAACTAGCAGTCAGAAGACACAATGAAAATTCCTTAACTTCACAATACATGGATAGATTTAATCACAGTTTCAGCTGGGACACTGTAAGCATCCTAAACCGAGCTAAATCTCAAAATGCCAAGTAATTCCTGGAAGCTTGGTATTCAAACAAATCAGACATCAACAGGTACATTGTGATAAACAACATTTATACACCATTCGAAAGAGAGAATACAAAAGTTAAAAGGGAAACAAAAACTTCTCCTCCCCAGCAATCAACACTCAGAGAAGCAGAAATTAGCACCGCAATTGACGCCAGACAAACAATCAAGCAGCAAACAACAGCCCAATCAAGCAACTTCTTTTTTTTACTATTTTTATCTTCTATAACTATAAACGTCCCAGTTTAATGGGA